ATAACCTTCATTGTACAAGGAGTAAGGGAAGTCAGAGGAAGAGTGCTCTACTTTGAAATAACTGCTATGAAGACAGCACAGAAAGTAGAAATAAGCTATTTAGACTTATGCTACGCAATTAGTGTAGCTCAAGTTGCATAGCTCATTTCGAGTTTAGCCCTGCTGTGTAGATGTGCCCTAAGGTAGTAGCAACAGTCATGGTTGTTTTTCCTTTTGAAGTGAGAGCTTTTTCCCTGGGCCACTTCCCCAAACAACTCCTCGAAGCATCTCCCTCTGGTACCTGCTAACCACCCCTCAGCTCTCACACAGCCTCGTCTTATTCTACCCTTTCTCCTTCCAGTCCATCACTCTTTGTCTTTCCCCTCTCCTTAACTGGGGGAAGTCTTTTAAAGCAGCCTCACTGCCTTTAATTGGCTGCAGGTATTGATTTGCCTGAGGAAGCAAGCTAATTAACTAGTCCCAGGGGTCTGCAGGGCCCATAGGGAGGTCTGGATGGAAGACGTTCTGGGGCCTGAGGCCCTGGCGCCCAACACACAGAGGCACGAGATGTGCAGTTTCTTGGAGGACATTCGTGGCTCCAAGAACAAAGTGGCTCTCGCCCTTCAGCGCTGGGGAGATTTCCATCTCGTCCTCCAGACCCGTAAGGGCCATTTTGGGGGAGAATAAAGGGATTGGGTGGTGGGGGGCTGCAGACTACCAGTGGTCCCATGCCTTCCATGATGCCCAGCTCACCTTTGGGTACGGTCACTGTTTGCTGCGGGGCCCAATGGGTGCTGCCAGCACTCCTGCCAGCAAGGATCTTCCCCAGCCCTCTCGATGCTGCCGATCATCCTTGCCACTCTAAAGACCCAGGGCTGCAGGCTGGGTCTCTGCAGGTGTCAGGTTCTCTCCTTCCCTTGGGAAGGGAGTTCTCTGTCATCTTCCTGCAGGAGACCCTCACCGCTCGGGCCGCTGAAGCTATCTGGTGCCTGGAATGGGGGGACAGAGTCTGCGTCAGCCACTTGTCAACCCGTCAAGCTGGGGTGGTGACCCTGTTCTCCCCGAACCTACAGCCCGAGGTGATGGGGACTGCCGAGGTTGTGCAGGGTCACCTGCTGCACCTCCGGGTTTGGGTGGAGGGGCTGACATTAAATCTTATTAACATCTACGCCCCGACGTCTGGCCTGGTGAGGCTCCGCTTCTACCGGCAGGCGTCTGCTTTCCTCGGCTCTCTGGATCCTCACAAGTGACTGGTTCTGGGTGGGGATTTCAACTGCACCCTCAAGGAACGGGACCAGACAGGGTCCAAGCAGCGCCAGGTCACCACGGACGTCTTCAGGGAGATATAGTAGACCAACACTCCCTGGTGGACGTCTGGTGCGACAACCACCTGGATGAAAACACGGCATTTGCCTTTGTCTGGGTGGAGGGTCAAGGGTCATTTCACTCCCGGTCGGACCGCCTTTATCTCTCCCGTCGTCATCTTTCTCAGACCCACTCCTCCAGCATTTGGCCAGCCCCATTCTCAGACCACCACTTGGTGGCCATGACGGCCTCTCTTTTCTCAGAGAGGCCAGGGCTGGTCTACTGGCATTTCTACAACAACCTGCTGGAGGACGTGGGCTTTGTGGCATCCTTCTGGGAGTTCATGGGCAGTGGTGCGCCTTTCCCTCAGCACAGCAGTAGTGGGATGTGGGGAAGGTGCACACGTGGCTCTTTGGTCGCGACTATACGCAGGGGGTCAGCTGGCGGCGGGATGTGGTGGTAGAGCAGTTGGAACAGGAGGTTTTAGAGCTAGAGAGGCAGCTGGCCACCAGCCCCAGAGATCCATTCCTATGTGGAACGTAGCAGGAAAAGTGGGAGGAACTCTGGGCCCTCAACAACCTTCAGGCCTGGGGTGCCTTTGTTCATTCTTGCATCCATCTCCTTTGGGAGATGGATCGCTGCTCCCACTTCTTTTACATCTTGGAGAAAAATAGGTGGGCTAAAAAGCACGTCATCTGCCTTCTGGCAGAGGATGGCACCCCCCCCTCACGGATCCGGTGGAGATGCTCAAGAAGGCTTGAGCCTTCTACACCTCCCTTTTCTCCCCAGATCCAGCCGATGATAGCAGATTTCTCTGGAATGAGCTCCCGATGATCAGCACGGACGACTGGGACTGGCTAAAGCTGCCTCTTTCTCTGGTCAAGTTCTCGGAAGCCCTCCTTCTCATGCGCACCAAGAAGTCCCCAGGCATGGATGGGCTGACCATGGAGTTCTGCCATGTCTTCTGGGACGTCAGCTCAGACCTTACCAGCATCTGGGTCGAGTCCTTAGAGAGCAGGGTTCTCCCTGTATTGTGCAGCTTGCCTTGCTGCCTAAGAAAGGGGACCTCCACAGTCTGAGGATTTGGCGTCCCATCTCGCTCCTCAGCACGGACTATAAAATCATCACCAAAGCCATCTCCCTGAGACTGAGGTCTGTGCTGGCAGATGTGGTCCATCCAGACCAAACCTGTGTCATCCCGTGTTGCACCATCTTTGATAACCTTTATCTGGTGCAGATCTCTTAGAGCTAGGGTGTAGGGATGGTCTGTCATTTGCCTTCCTGTCCTTGGATCAGGAGAAGGCATCGACCGGATGTACAGTGGTACCTCCTGGGCACTCTGCAGGGCTTCAGCTTCTGGCCCTGCTTTGTGGGGTTTCTCCAGGTGCTGTACACCTTCGCAGAGTGTTTGGTCAAGCTCAACTGGACCCTGACTGCACGGGTCAGCTTTGGGCGGGGAGTATGTCAGGGGCATCCGCTGTCAGGCCATTGAGCCCTTCCTCCATCTTCTTTGCAAGAGGTTGATGGGGTTGGTGCTCTGTGAGCCAGAGATGCAGCTGGTCCTGACAGCATATGCTGATGATGTGCTCCTCGTGGGCCAAGACCCTGGAGACCTGGCACAGATGGTGCCCTGCCAAGCTATTTACTTGGCGATCTCCTCTGTCCGGGTCAACTGGGTTAAGAGGTCTGGCCTGGTGGTCAGGGTCGGATGGCAGGCTGCCTCCCTCCCACCCGTGCTTCCGGCCACCTGATGGAGTGCAGGTCCACTGCTCTATCTTGGCATTTTCCTTTCTGACATGCATCCCTCCCTGCCGGAGAACTGGCAAGGGTGGCTAAGCGGTTGTAGAGATGGACAGGACTGCTCTGGTGCCTCTCCCTACATGGGAGGGCACTGGTGCTGAACCAACTGGTCCTATCTATGGTCTGGGGCACTGTCTCAACACCTTGGTCCTGACCCCGGGTTTCCTGGCCCACATACAGCAGCACTCCCATGGGTTTCTGCAGGGGTTCTCCATCTTCCCTTGGAGGAGGGAGGACAGAGATTGATGTGTTTGCACATGGGGGTTCCTGTCCTCTACCTTCAGGCCTTCCAGAGGCTTCTATATGATGCAGGTAGTCCTGCATTGAGCACACTGGCTCATGATTCCAAGGGCTCCTGTGTGACTGGCAGCTCCTTTCCTTGAGAGGTCTTCCATGAGACCTCTCCGAGCTGCTGACCTTCTACCAGGACTGTCTTCACAGCTGGAAGCTACTTATGGTGACCAGGTCATTGGGAGCCACCGTGGGAGCAGACCTCCTTGCAGAGCCCCTGCTATACAACCCCCATATTTGTGTGCAGGTGGTGGAGTCCCCTTCGGTGCACCAGAGGTTGACCCTGGCAGAAGTCACCAGGATTGGAGACCTCCTGGATTACAACCTGGGAGACTGGCTGGATCCTCTAGCACTCGCCCAGCACATGGGGCTCTCCACCCTTTGTGATCCCCAGCATGTACTTCAGGAGGTGAGGGACACTTTGTCACCTGCTGCTCGGGTTTATCTCCACAGGTTTCTGTGAGAGGGTGCACAATTCACCCCTGGTCCTCCTGATCTGTTCATAGACTCCCAGCCCTGCATGCCTTTCCAACCTTGTTCCCATCATCACCTGAGCCAGCAGCATGTGTTGCAGCCAGTCCCCTTTCAAACTGCACCAAAGAGTGATCTGTACATGCTCGTGCTTCACACTCTTCACTTCCCCACCCTCGTCTCCTGCCCAGACACCAAGTGGTGGGACCTCTTACCACCAACACAGGGTGGGGAGCCCCGTGGGGCTAGTCTTTACTCCACCTTAGTTCTATGGCCCACCGGGAACATTGGCTGGAGAATCTCCATGGCACGGGTGTGTACTTGGCATGGTTCACCCCTGTTCCTGACACTTGCCCCGTCTGTGGTGTGAGGGAGACCCTGGCGCATGTTTACCTCAAGGGCCCCAGGTTACAGCCCTGTTTTTGGGTCCTCCAGAACCTCCTGTTGAGGTTCTGGCTGCACTTCTCCTTTCACCTATTAATTTATTCACACCCCTTCCATGGCCCCACAATGTCATGGCACCTCCTCGTCAACCTTCTCCTGGCTATGGCCAAGATGGCCATTTAAAAGACCAGGGAGCAAAGGTTGGCTAAGGGAGGGGTCTCTGGCTGTAGGGCCTATTTCTGCTCCTGTATCTGTTTGCACATCTGGACAGAGTTCCACTGGGCGGCGGCTGCTGGCTCTCTCAAGGCCTTCAAAGGGCTGTTTTATTAAACTTTCCAAAAACATCACCTTCTGGCAGAGAATAAGCTCGGGAAAATTCAAAGGATCTTTTCACAAAGTTTTAAGAAAGTAGAAAGGGTATTTTGGTGTGACTGTCTATGCAACTTCCTTTAAACATGAACGCTCTAAATACTTTAAAACATACATTTAATTAGTTGCTTTGGAGACCTAATGTGTGTCTCACTTCGAGACAAAAGTCTCTTGCAGAGATGACTTCAAGGTAGGAGAAGACAAACATATGTTGCCTCTCAGTGCTACTCTATTTTCAATTCAGAGCCAAGACAACACTGTATTTTCAGAAGTAATCTAGATGGAACATAGCTCTTCCTGTGTGCTTGTCCCTGAGCATTTTGCTAGCCTTAAAACTGCTGCTTGTAAGAGGCAGTATGCAATCTAGACAGTACACTCAAAAAAGGCACCTCAGAAATAGCTAATGTGCAATATGGATTTTTTTTAATGATAGATGCATTATATACAGTGACATGGCTAACATTACAGAGTGTATCGTGCATTTAGGACAGATAAGTGCCATATTATCCATTATGGAACAGAAGTTCAATATAAAACATTTAACAACACTGATTTTAGTCAGACACTGTGCTATGGAAACCATAGCAGGTGTCTGACTAGAGCAAATTCCTAGAGCTGATTAGGAATTTGACAATGTTTTTAAACTGGAAAATGCCAATTCATCAAAACAGTTCATTAGTATTCTGGGATTTCCAGTTGGCATATTCATTAGAGCAGAGCCTTGACCCTGATTCACATGCCAAGTGGGAATCATAATCACTAGCCTAGACAATGCGTCACTTTCTCCAGTCCAATGTTTATTCAAAGTGGAACAATTCCAATGGGAGAGAGACCAACCACATTTCAAAAAAAACCAGCTGCCCGGAGGATTAGACACTTATCTGGGATGTGGGAGATGCAGGACCAAATCCTTGCTGTGCCTGGTTTGGAGCAGAGACTTGAACCCAGGTTTCCCTCTGCTCACACAAATGCTCTAACAACCACAGCATCGGACGTTCTAGGGCATGGCTGGCCTCATTTATCAAAAGGTTTCAGTTTCTTCTCAATGCTAACTCATGGTAATAGTTAAGGGATTGGAAAATCATTTCATGCCCACCTCTCTACCTGTGGCATCAGACTGTGCTGAAAATCTTATGAGATTATTTACAGCCTTCCTAAATAAATCACAATGAGTAAACAAGTAGAAAACATTTTTAGAGTAAGCTCATTAAGGAGTCTTCTTCATAATGCCATAAAATGTCTTAACAGCTTTGCAAATTCAGTGTTTAAAACATCAATGAATTAACTTCTAGAGAGTAGTAGATCAATTTACTCTGTTAACAGCTGTAACATTGCTGAGATTGGACTTTTATTTAAAGATCTTTGTTCCTTTTCAACATTTTATGCTCACTTTTTGCTCTAAATGTTAGAAGCAAATTTTTATACCAGCACATTTTAAAATACAAAACACTTTGCAGTTCACTGAGCAATTCTTGAGTAAGCTACTTGTCCTCTTCAGTTCAAAACCCATGGTCCCCAAGTAAGAGAAACCAAAGTTTCTAATATTGCAAATACCCCACTCAAGACTGAGCCAGTACACTTTAAGTTTGAATATACTGACATCAATTTCCCTAAGCAACCATCCCAACTAATTCGGAAGATATCAGAGCTGGAGGAAATAATCTTGCAATAACTGCAACTTACATGGCCAAAAAAATTACATTTTCAAATGAATCTGGAGACAACTTTTTAAGAAGAGCAAGGAATGGAATGTATGAATGTTGACTGTTTAAACACAAAACTGTATAGATGACAATTGAAAATTTGAATTTGAAAATACACATCATTTTTATTAGATTACATAAAACCTAATTTCAAAATGTGCACAGTAAAAACAACCTAAGGGATTTTTGATGCAGGTTAACCATGGAGTTTGTTTTACTGCCAACATTAAGTTCTGTCTGCTTTACTGATTACAAGTTCTAAATGTGTGAAAGCCATATACAGCACCAAATAACTTATAAGTGGGTCAACACCAAACCACCTCTGTTCCTTTAAAGAGCTAGCTCAAGAGGGTGACATTGAATTTTCATCATCCGCAATTCCGTGTAGCCGCAGTAGCAGCATCTGAAAGACTGTTGTTTGACCATAAACTACCGACTTTTGTTCTTCTTGGAATTTCCCTGTAGTAACAGAAAAACAATACACAGAACATAATTAATATCAAAATAATGTGTACCAGTCAAACAGGAGCACAAGATGCCTCAATCACTGCCTATACAGAGGGAAAAAAACATTACAAAAGAAAAAAACATAGCGGAAAAGCCATTACATTTCAAAGGGAAAGAAGAAAGTTTCTGTATTTAAAATGTAGTGTCTATTCTATACATTCCCATTAGATTTGTTATAACTAGAGGAAGAAAGGAGGACAACTTTCACTGTCACCAAAACCACAAATTTTAGTCTTATTAAAAGTTAGAAGAAAGGCACTGGAGTTGTGTCCATGTTTTCAGGATTATACCTTCATATATACTAACACTACCTCAAAAATTACTACAAAACATGCTTTTACAAAATCTACACAGTAGGTCTAGATAGATACGACAGTAATTCTTTTCACATACAAGAAATTAAATATTAAAGAAACATTGTCTGTAAGATTAATTCAAAAATATTCAAAGCCAGCAATCTGAAAAACTGGTGTTCTGTATACAGGGAGAAGATTTCACAATTATTCACATTTTATCTGAAAGTAAATTACGATTTCAAATGCAAGTTACTCCCCTTGCATAGTCATGTAAATTCTTAGAGATTGTGTCCTGTAGGTGCTCCACTTTTTCAGCTGTTGTGCCCTTGCACTCATAGCCAGAGATTTACAGTATCAGTGCCCAGTTGGTCCACACATATCTTGTGCTGCCTCAGGCAGTTAACCAATGCTGTGCAGCCCAACCTACTTCCCTTCCTTCTCTGCTACAGAGTGCGTACAGAACAGAAGTTGGAAACAGAGGGGGAGAGGGAAAGTACTGGGGTACCCATGAGGACACACGTCTCAAAGTATGTCCATTACTGCACTTGTGCCTCTGGGTGACTGCAGAACAGTGCTCTCTGAAGGAAGGAGGGGGCTTCGGAGTTGAAGTTGTAATGGATAAAGACACTATGGGAGCCCACAGGAAAAATGCATGTTGTATCAATGCAGAGTATTGTTTAAAAGTGTGTGGTGAATCCAGTTTGTGGTCTGCAAATTTCCATCAGGATGTTGAGAAAGGCTACTGATGTAGAGAGACTCCCAGTAGAATGCATGCGGATCCCTGCAGGGGGTTGTTGCTCAGTGGAGATAGCAAAGTTAGAACAGACGGATAGCCATTTGAACAGGCACTGTTTAGAAATAGCTAAATCAGTTTAGAAATCAGTGGTGGAAAGAAATAGTTCTGGAGACTTGCGAGAGCCCTGGACATCCAGAGTGTGTAACTCTGTTAGTGGCTTTGGGAAAAATGTGGGTAAACAGTGTTTGAGATGAAAGGAAGAGAGCAATTCAAGTACTAATTTAGGATATGATCTGACACACCTTACTTTTTTTAAAAGTGGACCAGGGCAGGTCAGCCATAAGAGCTGCTAGTTCTCCCACTGTATGGCTGATATAATGGCCACTAGAAATGCAACCTTCATAGACGGGTGTAATATGGAACTTCTAGTTAATGGCTTGAAGAGAGATCCAGTGAGGGCATGGAGGGCTAGATTTGAAGTCTGATGGTGGAGCTGGTTTTTGCACATCTACATAGGAGTTTGAGAGGCCCTTTAAAAAGGGTTTGGCGATGGACAGGTGAAAATAGAGAATTCATTGATTTTATGATGAGAAGCTGTAATAGCTGGCAGGTAGATGTGGACTGAAGGTATAGAAAGCCTAGTTACAGTTCAAGTAAGTAGTCTAGAACGAGTGGGAGAGCGGCTGGCACAGTCTGTTTCTGTTGGCACCATGATTACAAGTGTTTCCGTGCGTGCGTGCGGGGTAGCATCCCTTCAGGCGTTTAACAAGATGCTCTGTACTTCTGTGGAATGTGTCATTGCGGATCTCAAAAGCTATGATGTAGCCATGATTTGAGTTGAAATTTGTGAGGATCTGGATGAATGATGCAGCCTACAGGCTGCAATAGGATTTGAGGCAGAGGTGGATCCCGTGCAGTAGACAGACTGCCGTGGAAGAAGCTATGGATAACAGGTTTGTTGGGTCATGTGGGTGCTGATAGGATCATGCTAGCTGAGGGATGGGCAAGAAACAGCCCACCAAGCCTTTTAATCCAGCCACCCACCCTGGCAGCATGGAGCAGCACTGCTCAGAAAGCTAGCACAGGAGTGGGCAAAGGGGCCTCCACGGGCTGAATCTGGTCTGTCAAGCAGGTTGATCTGGCCCACGGCCACCCTGCTGCTCCCCCGCCCCCAGGCCAATCGAGACCTGGGGACAGGGGAGTGCACGAAGTCTCCCTCGCCAGGGAACTAGAGGGAACCACATGCCCCTGGCAGGGGGAGCATACGAAATACTCTCAGGGCCTGGGGATGAGGGAGCATGTGAAGTCTCTTGCTACCTGCCCCACCCTGCCAGGAGGAAACTGCGTGCCCCTGGCGGCTGGAGGAGCCAGAGGCTATGTCCACTCCCCTGCCCCTTCCCAGCAGCTAGGAGGCACAGCGAGGCCAGGGGAGGCAAGGCGCTGCACCTCCCAAACTAAGGGGAAAGCCTCCTTTCAGCCCCTCTCCTGATGCTGCTGAGTCCATCCATCCTTCCTCTTTTGGTGTGGGGGAGGCGAGGGGGTGTGCACTCCCTGGTTGGCCTGGGGGCGGAGGGAGCGCGGTGGGGTGTGGAGACTTCCCAGGGGCACGCAGTGCTTAGAGGAAACCGCAAGCTGTTCAGGCTGACAGCCAGCTGTTCTCTAGGCAGTAGGCACCCCTATCAGTGCAGAGGAGAAAGACCTCACACGCTCCTCTACCCCCAGGCCAATCAGGATCTGAGGATGGAGGACCACTCAAAGTTTCCTGGGCCCAGCCCTTTTACCTAAGGTGCCTTCTGAGGCAGCCCGTGACCACTTCAGAAATTTATAAAGTGGCCCCCTTTCCAAAAAAAATTATTGCCCACCACTGGGCTAGCTGCTCTCTGTGGCTCTCTGTGCTCCAGGGGGAGCCTTCACTGCCCCCATTCCTAGCAAAATCTCTCAGTTCCTATTAGCTGGAAACCTGCCAATAGGAACTGAGAGATTTTGCTGGGCCCGGGGGGCAGTACAGTACAATTTCTCAGCTCCCACTGGCCAATTTCCAGCCAAGGACCTGAGACATTTTTCTGGGGGGTGAGGGTAATAGATGAAGTCTACACCTCCCTCGTAGAGCACAGAGGCATATGAAACAGACAGTCGGAGACTGCTGGCAGGCAGGAAAGCCTGCTTGAGAGTGCTGCTGGCCAGAAGCTGCTAGGTAAGCACCTCCTGAACAGAGCCTGCCTCTGGAACCTCATACCATCCCACATCCAACTCCCTCCAACACCCTACACCCTATCTTATACTCTTCCCCGAGGACAGAATCCTCTCCTGCACCCATATCCACTCCTGGACTTTGCACCCCAATCTCCTGACCCAGACCACAGCCCTCTCCTTCAGATGCCACCCCCTACCCTGATATCCCTTCTGCACCCAGCCTTCATCCCAGACCCCACAGCCTCTGCACAGAAAAGTGTGGCCCTTGACCACTTTCCAAAATCTTGGAGTGGCCACTTATCAAAAATTATTGCCCGCCTCTGCTCTAGCCCTTTCCTGTTTTATATTGTAGAGTACTTGCGGTATGATTGGGGGGGGAGGGGAAGGAGAAGAGTCATATAGTAAGAGGGTTTTCCACCTGATGAGGAAGGCATCACTCAGAGTGATGGCTTGAGTCCTGCCGTGAAGCAGAATTGGGGCATTTGGAGGTTTTTGAAGTTGCCGAGGTGCCCTCCACAATTAGGAAATATCTGGAATGACATGTTTTCAACTCCCATTTGTTTTCTTGATAGAGCTCCCACTCAGAGCATCTGCCGCGTTGTTCTGGCAGCCAGGTCAGTACATAGCTATCACATGGACATTGTGTTTGATTCATCATTGCCAGAGATGGATGGCTTCAATGCATAGGGAATGTGATCTGCATAAACAGACAGTGGGGAGCACAAACACACTTGTGACAGTGTCTGTGAGAATCTGTATTGTTTTGTTTCAGATCAATGGCAGGAAGTGTGAGCAGACACTGCAAACCACATAAAGTTCCAGTACACTCATAGAATTCTAGGGCTGCAAGAGACCTCAGGAGATCATCGAGTCCAACCCCCTGCCCAAAGCAGGACCAACCCTAACTAATCAACCCAGCCAAGGCTTTGTCAAGCCGAGACTTAAAAACCTCTAGGGATGGAGATTCCACCCCCTCCCTAGGTAACATGTTCCAGTGCTTCACCACCCTCCTAGGGAAATAGTTTTACCTAATATCCAACCTAGACCTCCCCCACTGCAACTTGAGACCATTGCTCCTTGTTCTGCCATCCGTCACTACTGTGAACAGCCTCTCTCCATCCTCTTTGGAACCTCCCTTCAGGAAGTTGAAGGCTGCTATCAAATCCCCCCCTCACTCTTCTCTTCTGCAGACTAAACAGACCCAAATCCTTCAGTCTCGGCTCGTTAGGGATGTTAAGACTAGTTGATTGTCCAATAAGTATTTTCTTATTGAATACTCTTTTGACTAGTCAACATCCCCACCCCCCCCCCCCCCCGCTGCCTCTATGAGAAAGAGGCAGTAATGGGGGGAGGGGTACTTCAAAGTGGCAGCGCAATTCAAAGGTGCAACCGTGAAGCCCAGGGTCAGCTGGGGACTCTTGTGCATTTCAAAGCAGGCATGCTGTGTGCAGCCCGGCATCAGCGGGATTTCCCACTGGCCCTGGGCTGCACGCGGAGTTCCACATTCTTCCTTTGAAATGTACAAGTGCCCCAGAAAGAGCTCTTGTACATTTCAAAAGAGGAATATGGAAGTGCTTATCGACTAGTCGATGGAAGTTCTGTTGACTAATCAATTAACCGCATTTTAACATCCTTACTCCTTGTAGGTCATGTGCTCCAATCCTCTAATCATTTTGGTTGCCCTCCACTGGACCCTCTTCAATACAGCCACATCCTTTCTGTAGTGG